TACTAGGTAGGGAGAAAAACGAAAAATATAAAAAGATCTTAGAGGTAAATGTATTTAAATACCTTTGTCAACTCCCTACAGGTATGAGAAATATATTCTATAATTCAAAATTATTCCTTGGTTATTAAGTATTATGAATTATTTATTTATTTGAATTATTATTGTTATACCTAAGCAGTGTGTTAACCTTACATATATCTAATTATTTAACAAGAATAATATGCAAATATAATGCGTTTTACAATTAATTAAATTCAGTATAAATTATACATACGCTTTGAAAGGTCACATGTAAGGTGACGTCGCATAAGGAACACCAACGATGGAGAAAATAAAACTAATCATAAAATACATGCATATAGAAATTGGGCTAGATATAGATAACTGGTTTATAATTCATTATTTTTACAATTTTCGGTTTGTCCTACAAAAATTTCATAATTCTAACTACGCGAAAAATGTTGAAAATTTGTGTTAATATCTATTTATATAGAAGAACATGTCCTGATTGACTGATTGATTGACCGATTTATAGTCGTCTAGCCCGAAATGCTGAACGGAACGGGTTGAAATTTGGCATACAGATAGCAATTATGACGTAAGCAACTGCCAAGAAATGATTTTTGATAATTCAACCCCTAAGGGTTTTTTACGGTGTTCATATTAATATTTACGGATTTATGTTCAGTATGATTTAATGACGTATCAAAAGTATCCATGAAAGTATCGTGATGAACGAGCTTTACAAACTACAAGTTTAGTATCGAGTATCAGCTATCAATATTATCAATAATCAAGATTCCAACGGTCGTTAGAGTTCGATCATATGAAATTTTATTGTCGAATACTGTCAATCGAACTTTTCTGTCTGACAATAAAATAATAAATTAAAAACAAAATTATTCAACTGGTTAACACTAGTAAATAGATAATATATAAAATAAAAATAAATAAATGAATTAATGCGTCGCCTGGAGTATTATGATAAGTGTATTATACATATTAGGCATTCATCAATTAACATAACAAATAACTTATACCCTCCCTAAAATGAAAATCTCTTGAAACAGGCACACTCTTATAGTCTTAGTTATTGAATTATATTGGTTTTTTAAAAAAATTAATATTTCAGCGAGTGATACATAACGCTAGGGAGTGACAAAATAATATATGTACACTATCATTTCTGTATGAAATTTCAGTTTTTTTTAAAATAAAATACATGCATTAAAACAAAAACTTTAACTGCATAAAAGCATATGTCATAATATTATAATTACATATTGTCTTACATAATGTATGTTTGTCGTAACTGAATGGTTATACAGAGTGCCGGAGCAAAAACTACCACGTTCGAAATAAGCGTAACTTTGGAAGGGGGCGTCGCACAATATTGCCGAACTTCTCATTGTATAGTACGTAACAGAAAGTTAAGTATAATATCACAATGGAGTATTAAATATCGCTCGTTCGCCGTAGAGCCATATTTTCGAAACAACTACCACTTTTTTAGTGAAATTCGGTTGGTTTTCCGCCAGTCGTTTGAACAGCTAATTATTAAGACAATATTATTTTTATTGTTATTATTTAAAATAAGTATTNATATTACTTTTTTCCTGTAGGAAACTTTTCTACCAGATATTTTTCTCGAATTTACAATGACAGTACATTTTCTGAAAGAAAATCTTACTAGAGAGGTACATAAACGAGATCACTTTTCGATTGTCCCAAGATTTTTCCCAGACAATGTGAAAAGCCATGAAAAAAACCGGGAATAAGGCAAGAAAAACGAGAAAGTCGGTACAATATTAAACAAATGTTATCAAAGAAAATATATTATGCCTATTTAATTATTTACCATTTATTATCATTTATAAGCGTCAATTCTTATCATTTATAATAGCATATAATGTACAAAAGAAAAATAATTTTTTTTTTTTATAATATTATAATAATAATAACAATGTATTCAGATATAGAATAGTAGAAATAATCGAAATTGCTTTGAAATAAAATTTTTATTTTTATAAAAAAACAAACCTTTATTGTTTAATAACTCTTTTTTAAACACAAAATTAAATTAATAAAAGATATATTTTAATATTAAAATTATCAAATATATCAGAAAACCATAATAAAATGTTTTTAAAGTGTAATAAGCATTCCAGATTCTGAAAAAAAAAATTTAAAACCCTAGTTTTAATAAATTTACTTTTTTACGTGAAATATAAACTACGAAGACAGATATAATTACTTGTTATATCTCTGTTTAGCTTCCGGGCTATATTCGTTTTCTTTGAGAATATGACGTTTGAATCCTTTAATACTTTTTAGAAAATAATCTTTCCATACAATATTGGATATTTCCATGTTGAACAATCTTTTGTCCATATCGCTCTGCGATGCAATCAGCTCTTGTAAACGAGTGTCATCGAAATGAAAATGTCGGAAGACGAAAAATTCTAAGTCTTTCATCATAGTCTTCAGTGTTCTATACAGTCTTACCGCTCTATTAAAACAAATTTATAGTTATTTTTTGTATTAATATAATGCACTGCACCGAATAAACCAACGAAAAAAATATTTTTAATGTCCCTTGTAACTTTTTAGAGTTTTGTCATTAATTTATATTTTTCCTAACCTTAATTCGTAATATTGAAATACTTTTTAACCTAATACATATCAATTAAAAAACAATACGAATTTTAAAATACCTACAGTATATAGCATGACAAAATAACCATTTAAAATTGTCTAAATAGATAAAGCTGATGCTTATCATAAAGTCGCCATTTCTAATATAATAAGAATTGTGAATTTTCAATAAATCTTCAACTTATAGTTATAGTAATAAGTATAAGAAGCAGTCGCTAGTAAGTAAGAACTTATAACATAAAACGATTCAATATCTTTAAAAATAAACCCCAAAAAAAAAGGCCTTATATAAAAGATTTGAATTATTTTAGATGTGCATTTTGCTTAAATCATATGGTTAAAACATTTATTTTAGTTACGGACTTTAAGTCCAATTGCATGGCAAAATCAAAAGGAGCGACAATATTTATATGATAAGAATCTTCGATATCCTAAAAGTATAAACTATCACGATATTATGACATTTAGATAGATAAATATAAATAAGTAAAAATATATTTAGGTACTTTGTTTTTTTCCCCGAACACCACAAATAAGAATCGCCGAGAAAAGCCGGAACATAATGGTGTAGGAAAAATAAAATATTATATATTATTCTCGAATCCGTAATCTTCACATACGGAATCCAAATCTAAAAAAACAAAAATCAAAGTTATATATTATACTTATAGATACTTATCTGAAAGCGGTATAGAATAAGTAATAATCCTAATTTAATATATTATTTACCGAATACTAAAACACACCTATATTATATAAACTACTAGGTGTCTCGACCGAGCCATTTCGTTTCTTGAATCAAATTTCTTAATCGACTAATTTTTAATATAAAAATGTATTTGTATTACAATGTCTTTTTCCATGACTTCAACAGAATAAAGTATACATGTCCATACAGTTTAGTGTCTGTGTAAAACTCCTATTTCGCTACAAATCAGTGCCTCTTGGGTAGAAGTAACGCGAAGTATATCGCATTTTATTACTCAAATCATCCC